GACGGGTTTTTGATGATTATCGTTTGTGCCAGATTTGAAGCGCGCTGTAGCCGAAGCTATTCGTGGTAGAGATGTTATACTTTTTTTAAGAATGATCTATGTATAGCCTAGGTAAGTGCCGTCTTAATATGTGATTATTGTTATTCAACGTGAGTTTCGAAGAAATGTCCAAACATGTATCTACATGCAATTATGCCCTGAACTTGATATTTATTTTTGTCTAAGTTGTTTGAGGTATCGCATTTAAATTAACACCACAGACAGTACATATCATTGCCATCTGCAGAATACAAAATAATGTATTTATTGTTTTTTTTCACGTTAAGGAATGAATTAACTCATGGGAGAAGATTTCTAATAGTGTTCAAGTTCAGCACGTCATTAAAAGAAAACTTTTTTTTTTTTTCGCTTCACGATTTTGGGACGTGTTTCTTTTAGCCTGTACATATTTTGGTAAAAGAAACTTGTTTCGAAGTTCTGAACCTCTGCATACGCAAGAATACAACACTTCCGGCGAATTCTTGATAGTTTTTTTTTCTCCAACTTTTAATCCCCGCATTTATTCTTTTTTTTTTTTTTTTTTTTTTTTTACTATTGGCACAGGTATTTAGGTTGAAAAGACATAGCTTTGAACTTCCGAACCACTAAGCATGTGACGAGTAGTGCCTTCTGACGAGTTTCTCACAATGACCATCTACGCAATCTTTTATGCAGTGAAGAGCGACAGTAGCTATACATATGCATAAATAATTTCAGATTAAAATAAGCTCGACCACGCCCTCTTTTCCCGTATTGTTCTCTTTAACAGTCCGAAATATCTGGAAGGTAAAAAGAAAACTGAAGCCCCCCCCCCCCCCCCCCCCTTGCTACCCTCTTACCCCCCGTTTTTCCTTTTCCGACGCCACCTGTATGGTAGAACGCTCCTCGACCTCGTCTTGTGTCGGCTTTTTGCGAGGCGATTCCTCCGTCCCAGAAAATAAACCTCCAGGACAATTACAAACTTAACTTACTATATGCCAGCGTCACCCGGGCGGCGTTCGATCAGATTACTACCAGCGTGCAAGGGGTGGCGAGGTAGTTTGCCAGGTCGCTTCAAGGTTTTTCTGAGCCTCAACCTCCTGCCCGCCCCTGGCCGTTTTGAACTGGATGAGTCTCGTAAAACAGTGTGTTCGTGTGATTACTACTGCGTGATGCAGGTCAAAGACTCCCCCCCCCCCCCCTTCCCCACCCCGGGCTGGCGGTCACAATTACTGATCCATGGTCACACGTCACTCTGCACTGGCAAATATTCCAGCACATCCGGGACACTCGTCGCCTCATTTAATTGCGTGACCAACTTCGCAGAATCTAGATATCACACCCTAACTTTTCTAAACTTGATTTTGTGAAAACCAGTGAGTCGTGAAAACGTTATTTGAAACAAACTGTGGAGGAACTTGAAAACCGTGCTTCGAACTTTGAAAACTTGGACTAAAAAGAATTCTTCGAAGTTTTTTTTTTTTTTTTTTTTTTTTTTTCGAATTTATTGTTAAAAAACAATAATCGAAACCTTCGAACTTTTCGAACTTTATAGAGAAAGAAATTCGAATTGTTCGAACTTCATGTCTATAAAACTTCGAAGCGTTCGAAGTTTTCGAATTTTATTTCCAAAGAATTTCGAAATCTTCGAATTTATCGAACCTGAAGTAAAAAAATATTCGAAATATTCGAATCCGAAATTTTAGAAACCGTGAAAGCTTCGAACTTTTCGAATTCGAAACTCGACTGTGATCGAAAGTTGCGAATTTTTCGAATTCGAACCTCGGTCGGTACAAAAATATCGAAATTTTTCGAAATCGAACCTCAGTTCGCTTCGCAAATATCGAAACCTTTCGAAATCGAACTTGGGGTGGTTCGCGACATCCCTAGTTTAGTGGCGCTCTCTCCCGCCATCGACACGGAGTGCTGCAGCTGTGAGCGCTCGCTTAGCTCACTACCCCTCCTCTAGTTCACGGCCACGCAAGCAACCAAGGACGTCATGAAGGAGGTTATTTTTAGATGCGGAGCATCTCTTGCTCGGGCTATGTCCCGCAGCGTCGTAGTCCGCACTCACACTACGCATGCGCAACTCTCCTTGCTGCGCATGCGTTCTCTCTCTCTCCAACAGCTGCGCGAAGTGCACGCAGCTACCACCTGCGTCCCTCTCTCCAACAGCTGCGCGTGCGTTCTCTCTCTCTTCAACAGCTGCGCAAAGTGCACGCAGCTACCAGCTGCATGCACTTCGCGTGCGTTCGCTTCTACTCACACCGCGCGTGCAGGCGCAACTCTCCTCTAGTTTCTTCTCCTTCAAGTTTGAATATAAGCAGCGGTAGCGCGCTGCGCGCATTCAAGGGGAGGAAGTAGCCGTGTGGGCTAACGCGTCTCAGCTCGGAGCGTGGAGCGAAAGCTTGCGCTGGGAACCTCCTGGGTTCGAGTCCCCGCCACCCCCGCCCGTTTCGATCTGGACGAGTTTCGTACCGGCACGCGTTCGTGTGATGACTACTGCGTGATGCACGTTAAGAATCCCAGATTAGCGGTTGTACTGCACTGGCTAAATTTCTCATCTACAGCTAAGAGACCGATTACCCGTTGAGGCGCATCTCCATCAAGGCTGTATAAACATAAAGAGCAAACCAATTTCTGCGCGCAATCAGTTCACCCGCTGTTGACTCCACTTCACTCCGTTCTTCAGATGAAGTGTGATGGAACGATGCTCCGCATCACCCTATGGTTCCCCTCGGGAAGATGGTGTAATTTTTTTATTTGCTTGTTTTTGTAATTTTAATTTGCCTATAACTTTTAAAATAAAGCGAAATTCGAGAAAAGAAAAGTTTTATTAAGTTACTATGTTAAGTGCACTCAGGTTCGGTGCAAATTAAGAACCAGTAAAAAGTCCTTGCAGGGCCCCTTTAACTCATGATTCGTGCTCATATATAGAAAAGGCACGATAGAGACCAAAGGAACAAAATAGGCATTTGCCTAAAGATCCGGCCTCTAGTAATGACCTTCGAGGCAATATTTGACAAGTTCTTTGCGTTCACTGCCCGAAATCTCGACCCTATCACGGCGGTTGCAATGTCCCGTTGTTCCGCATTTGTCCAGGAAGGCTAAACTCGTAAAAAGACGTCAAACCTTTTTCGACTGGATTTGCGGGCGTTTGCCATAATGCGACAATTGCACAGAGGTTGCACAGTTGGGGGAGAAACAGATTTGCAACCCCTCAAGGAACACACCCTTTACCACTACGTCGTCCTGCTTTCCTCTTTGACTTTGACTTTAAATGAAACGAGTTATAAAGATTGCTCGTCAATCGCGCTCGCCTCGCCATTGCCTGCATTTCCAGACGATGTCGGCGATGTGAGGAGCTGAAAGTCGACATGAAGTTTTTCAAAATAGTGGGATGGAGGCTATATACTCTGATAATACAAAACCGGGGCATTTTACTCCTGATGAGATCACTTGATTATCATGTCTGCATCATGCCTCAATGCCGTGGTTACAGTCACAGCAAATCCGTGGCACTTGCGCCGCTCACGTCTACCTCCACGGGCTCACACCAGCGCGCACACATCAAGCTTTAGGAAATAGTGATCAGTACTGTTACGAGTCAACTTTCTTTTGTCTTGACAGTAGGTTAACCTCTAATACAAAAGCCTGTGCCGAGAAAGAAAAACAAAATGCGCGTTCTTGTCCAAATAAATATGTTAGTTAAGGTAGTTCCGTGCAGCAGTCGGGTACAGTGCGCTTTTTGACTAGGCTCTGGTTCCAACGCGGCTAAACTGCAGTGTCACTTTTAGAGTGCAACGGTGGGTTTTTGTAATATTTGTGAGCGGTTGTTTTTGCAGTTTGCTTTAGAATCTTGAGATTTGCAGCTTCATGAAACAGGGGGGGGAGACCTATTCCTATTGGCAGACATACTTTAGCAGATATGATGGTTTTTGCTGGCATTTTATAAACTTCGAAGTTTAAAAGGGGGAGGGGAAAGAGGCTTTATCTCAACTAAATCATTGAGCTATGCTTCAATTTTCATATCCATTGTAAAATGGAACCTAATCAGATTGCGGATTGGATGCAGATGCGGATCGGACACGTATATCCGAGGGCCCAGATCTATATTTTTGCTGAGGCGGCCCACAAATGTGTGCGAACGTCGGAGTGTAGAGTCAATAAATAAGTGATACTATGAAGTGCATCATTGAATGTTTTGTGGGAGGAAATTATTGTCTTGGAGAAAAGGAGCCAATCGGTGAGAAAGTTGTTCTTTACCTCAAGAAAGTTACTGATTTTCACTAAAAATCGCTTTAGTGTAGGGGTGCACAACTCAAAAATGATGCAGGTTTTCAGCACGGGTTTTCAATCTCTGGCAGACAGATTTTCAATATCTGGCATCATCGCACCGGTTGCCGCCTTGAGAACATCTTGCCGTGTCATGTCTGCAGGCCGCATGCGGCCCACGGGTGTCATGTTGTGCACCCCTGCTTTAGAGCAGTGGTTCTCAACCACTGATGTTTCGCGGACCCCTTGTGGATAGGCAAAGATGATGGAGGAGCCCGGTCGTGGTGAGAGGAAGGGAAAGTTATTGGTTAAATATGATAGTAATTTAATAAATGGATATAACTAAGGGCTAGGCTTTTTTTATTGACACATAAACGAGAAACACTCATTCAAGAATTGGAATGTTTATTCTCAATCTGAAAAAAAAGACAACTTTTATTGCCGGGAGGCAGGGTTTCGCGGACCCCTAGGATAACTTCGCGGACCCCAAAAGGTCTGCAGACCCCCATTTGAAAACCACTGCTTTAGAGCATTCCGTACAGCCAAAAATGCTGTCCCTAGAAAAAGTAAAGAATGCATGGACATTAATTGTCCTCAGAAAGCGTGTTCCTCTTTGGCAGGGAAAGAACGGAAAACATTCTTTGGCCAAAAAGAACCTAAAACGTACAAGCCACAAGAAAGTAAAAGCTTCATCGACAGTAGATTAGTTTTCTTCCCGACAGTAGATTAGTTCTGATAAGCATATGGTTTAGAGCACTCAGTTTGGGGTCGTTAATTGAAACCGATAGGAGGTGTTCCCATTATTTTTTATTCTGATATTTTCCCAGCGATGTAGTCACACCTTGCCACATATTTACGAGCATTTCGCTGTGGTGAGTGACTGACGTTCCTCCCACTTTTTTATTCCCCGACCTAAATAAACGATACAATCATATTAGTCTGTCCTAAGTAAACAGAGAACAAACACGAAGGAGTGGACAAGGCCAAGTGCCCCTTTATGTTCCTAAATACCCTGGCAGTAAACTGGAGCATCAACGTTCATCAGTTCATCAACGTGGCATTCAGAAATATTTCAAGTTCACGTGTCTTGTAAACCCGCTCTCTAACAGGAATCAGTTCGAGGACATTAGAATCACAACGCTCCAAGACGGCTCAGAGCATCCGCTATGTCCTGCCTGACCTCGGCCTCCCGCTTCCCTGTTCGCTTCATCACCTCCTCAACTAAGGCCCAGCTCGTGTGGACCTTCCGGAGCGCTTCGGCAGCACGTTCGTCCTCAGCTTCCCCGGTGACGAACTCTGCAGCGGGGTACAGGAGGGCCTTGTTCCTCCGCAACGCCTCCCACACCTCCGGCAAGCCTTCCACGTCCTCCGCGTCCCACTCGATGCGCAGGTCGAGGAGAGTGTAGTTGTGGCGCATGCTGTTTGCCAACGTCCTCGCGACCTCGGGATCCACAGACCAGTACTGGCAGAGGGTGAGCGAAGTCAGCGTATTGTTGACCTCCAGCAGCTTTCCGAGTGCGACGCCCATGGGGACTGTGAGGTATGAAACATACGTCGTGAAATCTGCCACGCTCCTGTTGTCCCGGAGAGCATCGAGGAGTCTGACGAGGTGCGTCTCTTCGTGTTTTTCGTCGGGAGAAAGACGGTGGTGGACGGCCCTGATAGTTGTCGTGCCTCTGAGAAGTGCAGCAAGCCGGTCGACGAGGAGGTCAAACGAGAACTCTTTTGGGTAGAAGCTCACTTCCGTCACGGTATGGCTGGCGAGCAAAGCGTCGAAGAAGGCATCCAGATCTGCCGGAGGAACTTCTGGATCGACGTCGACATAGACCTGCGGCATGTGGTCGCCGTGCCGCAGAAGCGTCGCCAGGTCCTTGAGCCACTTCTGCTTCCAGATCACGAAGATCCTCTTGAAGGCACCGGCACTTTTCGGATCTTCAAACAGCCTCGCGCGGTGTTCTTCCAGAATGTCGACTTCTGAGACATCCAGGCGCTCCAAGGTCGTGTTGACAGTCAAGGCATTTACAAACTCGACGAGCGACGCGGACGTCAGTTGGCCCTGTGGAAGAGACAACTCGCGCAGAGTCTTGTTGTGTCGGAGGGCTTTTGCAATAGCCATGGCTCCCCCGTCTCCGAACGAATTTGAGTCGAGACCAAGCTCTACGAGGGTTTCGCTGGCTTCGATGAGCGCTGCAAACTCAAAAGCGGAGGCGTTATCGAGTTCATTGCAGGGAAGGCGTACAACCTTTAGGTTCTTGAAGACCTCAGAATATTTCATAAAAAAGGGGATCTCGTGTGGCTCCAGGCCAAAGATGTAAATCTCTTCGAGCGAAGATCCGTCGTGCAAACCTTCGAGAGCAATTCGTGCGCATTCCTTGTTAACCCCTTCCATGGTTAGTTTCTTCAGCGACTTGCTTGTGCGCAATAGCTGAGCGAGGACACGGGCAGCAGAAGCACTCAAAGAGGTATAGCTTAACTCTACTGCCTCCAGGGATGGACAACCCTCGAGCTTCGCAAGAATCTTTTCCGATCCGGACTCGGGAACAGTACTGTGAATTATCTTGAATGACTTCAGGTTGTGGTTCCTGCCCAACGTGTCTGCAAGCTCTTCCACGGAGGCGTCCGTTAGTGTTGCAGAAAACAATGAAAAGTGCTCCAGCGTGGTCAGGTGCCCAAGCCCCGAAACTGAACTCGCTTCAACGCTTCGAAGTCCTGGATACGGAGAGCCAGAGAGGAGGTCTCCGGCTCTGCTGACGGTATGAATACAGCTGTGACGGCTAAGCAACCAGTCCTTGAGGAAATCCGCTTGCAAGGTGTCTGCATCATTTGGTGTTGTAACAAAAACCCATTCCACCACCAGCCCTCTGTCGGCACTTTCGGTGATCTGGAGCGATGCAGTGTGGAGGATTTTGTTGCAGACTGGGAGACACTCGCATAGCCAGCAGGGCTCTTTTTCTCTGGCGGAACACTGCCTCAAGATGTCGACCCCGTCTTCTTTCAGCCTCAGCCTCATGTCGTTGAGTGCTTCGCGACAAGAGGCATACCTCGGTTTCCTGATCAGTTGGTCCAAAAACTGTTCCTCGGAATTCTGGTCCTCTCCGACGTCTGCCATCTCTGCACAACTGCAATGAAGTTAGGTATGTTATATGTACAGGTTACAATTAATACTGCACTATCAGTTAAATAGGAGGATCCAGTAAAATGTGTTTTTCTAGCACAAATGAAAATAAGCGCATAAAAAGGTATCTTGTAGACACGCCACGGGGAACGGTTAGCTCGAATTACGTAGTGTAATATTTAAACTGACCACTGTCATGAAGTACATTAACAATTTTCGGCATTCCGTGAAAGTTCTGCCAAGTAGCACCCCCAAATTTGTCAGAGATTCCCCGGTTCCGTCGGTTCCGTCTCGCAGCAAGACGGAAGCCACGCCGATACCGGCACACCGTTGTTCGATAGCACGTCAATTTGTTTTTAGGCAGTATGCATGAACAAACCTTTAATGCAGCGCTAACTGGTGTTTCGGCTTTCCAATCTAAGTATCTTTATTCGCTGCGGCTGGGCTAAGCATTCTAAGGAGGGCAGTAGTCTGGCTGTATTTTCATCAAAACTTTCCTGTCGCCGAGCTATAGGCACGCTCGTTGGATAGATCAATTTGTTTTCAGGCAAGACGCACGAACAAACTTTTTCCTCAACACTCACTCATGTTTCGGCTTTCAAATCGAAGTATCTTTATTTGCTGGCCTAAGTATTATAAAAGGGTCAGAGCGGTTCGAATGTCTCTTTATCTCGACAATTTTTCTGTCGCTGTGCTATCGGCTCGCTACCATTTCATAGATGAATTTCTTTTTCAAGCGAAGTGCACAAGCAAACCTTTTTCGGAATGCTAATTGTTGTCTTGGCTTTCAAATCAAATTGTTTTTACCTGCTGAATTTAGCACTAATCAACCGAAAAGGGGCGGCGGTCCGGCTACGCCTCTGGTCTCGATGGTCTCAACAGCAGCGCAGCCATCTTGTTTGTTTACGTGACGTTGCGGAACGCAAAGAAGTCACTCGCGCTTTGAGAAATTTTCGGTGCACGAAGAGCGTGCTTGAGTGTCAGTCTCTGGTGGCACTCCTGTTCGCTTAGTGAAAGGAGTGCCAAACTCTCGCGCTCTGGAGCACGGACTTAAAGGGGCAGTGCAACGATTCTAATGTTGAAAGAATTGTCAGTTTGCATTTTTTATATTGTTTATGCAAGCCCAAGTGACCAAAAACGCGTCACCTTTCCCCGAAAAACTGCTATTCTGCTGCGTAATCTTAAAGCAAAAAACAAATTATTTGCCGATCTGCAGCCGCCTGTCGGGATTACGGGAACTAAGATGACACCGTCTCTGGGGGATTCACACAAGTCAACAAAACCTGTCCCCCACCGCTGCTACACTCGCCGTCAGCTCTTTGGCGAACCGTCCTTTGTGTCGATCGCTCACTGTGACCTTCGACGAGGCTAATCCTTTAAAAGTCGACAATCGCGGAGGAAGCAACTGGTCTCTTAAAAGAGGGGGCGCACCTCAGAGCCCCATAGAGAATACATGAGGTTTTTCACCAAATTAAAAAAATTCTCACATAATAAAGGCTGCGCGGATCTTCTTGAAAATTTCGGCTTTAAAGACATTGAGTCATCATCGAGACACTAAGCGCAACAAATGTTTCATCATAAATTTAATTATATTCTTTAAAAAATCATGAAAATGGTCAAAATTGGCTAATTCGGCACTCTTGCGTTCGGAGCGAATTTACAAAATTATATAAATTCAAACATAAGAGGTATTGCGCTTAGTGTCTTCTAAATTTATTACGGAATCGAATAATATTCAAATTATTCATGTAAGTCGATTTGTTCCGTAACTACAGCAAATATAAAGAACCAAGGTGTCGGTGCTTGTTTTCGTCGTTTTTAAGGTACCTCTCTCTCCCGTGCGGTGGCGCTCGCTGTCCACGAAATGCGAAATCGTCCGTTCGGAGATCGGCCGGATCGGCACTGTGCGAGGTGTTCTTCCGCGGCCGTATTCCGCGCCCGTATCCTGTTTCATTCTGCACGCCGAGGCGTCAGTGTGCGTGTCTCGCTTTCCTGGTTCTCGCTGGGTAGGTCTCCGTGTTTTCGCAAGTGGCAAATTCACCTTGGAGCTATGGGTCGAAGACAACCGTCCTGTGGCAAGCGGACCGCGAGGTGTTCCACGACCTCGCGGTCCGTCAACGCGTTGTGCTTGTTTCTACTTTTTTTTTTCTTTTAAAAACTGGCTTTTTTTTTTTTTGACGCAAAGTTTTATTTTATTGTTATCCTTCACACAAACGTCCTTCGGCCTTGGGGTCGTGGAAATCGGGGATGAAGCGTGCACAGAGTAGATCGTTGTTTGCCTCCTTTTTATTTTTCACGGACGTCCTGTGACCTCTGTACGGTTCGTGGTCACCGCAATCTAACGCGGGGAAAAACGGGTCGCCTGCTCTGTAGTCAGGGTATTCCTAAGGAGGGTGATAACTCGCTGTTCTTCTGGAAATTCACATATCACCCAAAAAGGTGACATGGGGAATGATTACGGTATGTTTTTTCCGGTGTTTATTTTTGAGCGAAAATCGGTGCATGTTTTTCGGTGCTTATTTTTTAATCACCAGTGTATTATGGGTTGAACGTCTTGTGATGACGCTAAAAAGCGTTGATAACCAAAGAAAAATGTGATTGGACAAGAACATTTCAAATTTCCAATTCTATTCACATATCCATTACGCTCTTCTCGTGGGAGCATCTATCCTGACGAAAAATGCCTAAGTCATTGAGCTGTGAACGCATACTCAGAGTACAATCTTTCGGCCTAGAGAGGTATTGCGCACGCTCGAACGCGTTTTACAGCCCAGTAGACGAAGTTGGTGGCACCCAGAAGGCGAGTTTCTGAATGGTCTGTAGTAGGCAAAAGAAACAAATAACAATCAACGCATATCAGCTCTTCAAGCGAAGAGGCGCGTTTCTAAGGTCAATGGTTCCGGACGGCACTAATGTTGTTGGCGTTGTCGTAAGGTGACGTCAGTTCATACGAACTGACGTCATCTTACGTGATCACGTGACACAAACACGTCATCTTACATGATCTCGTTACACGAAATGACGCCATCTTACGTGACCACGTAACGCGTCATCTTGTAAGTCAACCTCTCCCCACAGCAGCGCGCTCCGCGCTTTCCGGGCCCGTGCAGTGCTGTAGTCGAAAGTAAGCTCCCTATGGCAAGCGAAAGCTTCTGAAATCTCACAATGAGAATACTCGCAAGCGACCGTCTGTGGAAGCTTCGCACGTTGAGGTTTTTGTTGAGATCGAGCCATCGTGTTCCAGTAACTATAGTTGAAGTTATCGTTCAATAAAGCCCTAAAAAATATGAATGTAGTTGGTGTAGACATCAAGATCTAATCAAAAATGCGGTTTGACGTCGTTTAATTAACGTGTATATAGAAGTGTAGAAAAGAATGAGTTATTTGTGCATAGATGTTTAAAAAAGTGTTTATTATTCGACACAGGACTTTGGGAGAAGGATGTGTTCAGATTTTTCTTCATGAGCGCAAATATACCTGACGCAATAAATAGTGACGATTTCATCGTCCCAGTGGTGAGCAGGTGATTTCTTGCTCGAAACAATGATGCCATTTCATAAACCAAGTTCTGTGACATATGCTTTTCCAATGCCTGGTCACTATTTTGTAAACCTTTCAGTCCAAACGAATATACTTCTGTTTGTTTTTGTTAGCTTAGGAGGGGGTCACAGAGCCTATCTTTTTGTCTTCCTCTAGGACAGACGTACAGAGTTATACCGCAACACGCATCTGTGGAGCACACAGAGCTATCGCTCTCCTGTTGGCGGTACAGTAGCAGACGACACAACGCAGCTCCGTAGTCTATCGAGGGCACGGCTAGCCGCGGCCCGTAGCGCGACCGTTCAGGCTAGGGAAATGGTTTTGAAGAACCGAGAAATGGTATCTTGTGTACAATAATCACATGTCGTTAGTATACTAGTGTTCTACTTGCTAAGCCAAATAAATATTTGCAGCTTGTGAGAATATATTTGCGTGACGATTTACCGTTCACACTCCTGACGGATGTTAGCGAATCCTTCATGTTCGTGGCTCGCAGTTATCGGTACCCCCCCGGAGTGACTTCACCATATATATTTTTTTTCTTGCTTGCAGGACATCATAAAAATCACAAACACGCGAGAAAAAAAAAATCTTATGAGTACGCGTGATTTTGAGCTTCGCAGCTCTAAAGATGCCCGGTAAATGTCGTCCAGCTTGGAAAGAAACTAATCCTTTTTGTTGGAGTTTAACTATCGTATGCTGGCAGCTCGTTTACGGTCTGTTTTGTCTATACTCCGTTTCACCGTAATTTGGCAACCCTCAGTCAGAGCTGCTGTGAGGGAATCACAGTCGCGGAGCAAAGCACGTGACAGCTACTTTTAGGAGCTGTACTATGGCACCTGCAGCGCGTCTCCGACTGGTGTGTTTAGCGTCTTATGCTGGCCATACATCAAAAGTGGTCCCGAAGTGCAGCAAATGACGTCACAGAAGACGGAGTGTCACGCTGCTGCATCTCGCGATCCTGGCTGGCGAAAACCACGAGGGAACACGAGTGTCGCTGTCGTCATGGCGTCCCAACGAAAAGCAATTATACAATTTCGATGTTTTTGTAATTCGGTAATTTAAATTACTGTATACAATTTTCAAGAAAGTAAAGACATCATAACCAAATAGGAAGTTCCGTGCTAAAACATGCAGTGCGAAGTGAAGACAACTACTATCTTTTTTTTTTTTTTCTTGATGTCCACAAAAAAAAAAAGGCTATGCAGCATCGATCCTACCGTTTTTTTTTTTTTTTTTTTTTTTTTTTTTTTTTTCCGCACATTATGTGATGTCCTCTAACACGAAAGTACCGACGTAAAAGCGCTGTAGAGACGATATAAAAACAAAAATTTAAGTGAATCGAGCTTTGTAGTGGAACGGAAAAAAATAAATAATTAACGACTTTTTACGGTAAACACTTCACCTCTAAGTAGAACTTCAAAAAAGTGACGGTTACGCGCTTTCATGCCCATTTCGACAAAG